AGGAGAAAAGGACTGATGGCATGAACCAGCCTACAGAACCATCTTAAAACAGAAAACCCTGATTCAAATCATCTTCAAATGCAGAAGCACTCTCCCTCAATGACAGGCACCATACTATTGCCTCTCCTCTTCATTATCTTGGCCCTGCTTGATTTTATGAACCTTCCTTCCCTGATATAGCTTGTATCTTTCTGGAAGATGAGGCTGGGAAGAGTTGAGTTGGGAAGCCATCGAGAATTTCCATGTTTCACCAGCATTACAAATTTCATAGAAAAAATGTCATTTTAGAAAAGAGCGATGTCTTTTCCCTTGGAATTAGTATACAACAGTTTTGAACAGTGCCACAGGGTTTCCTTCTTAATGTTTGATGCTGGATCAGTATTTTTTGGGTTCTAGAGACTACTCCTGTACAATCAATGCCCGTCTCCCTTCCCACTACTCTTTAGCTGCCAACAAAATCCCCTTCCAAACCTACACACAGTTCATCCTCGCAATCCACATCCCTCACAGCACCTGCTCTAACACCACCCCGCACATGGTATCTCCATACATACATACTGTGTGAGGAGAGAAAAAAAGAGGAGAGATCCCCACCATGGCTCCATAAAATAACCTTGAATTTGCAGCCATCAGGCTGGAGAGCTGCCACCCCATTTCAGTTAAAAGATAAAAACATTTGGCCTTTCGGTTCTCTAAATGCAGAAGTACCTCACATCAGCTTCTTCCTCGCCACTTAGTAAAAAGGGGACATCTGGATTTGCCTCTTTTGCAGAAACCTTGCACGATGCTCAAAGCACCAGCTGTAGAAATGCTGGCTGCCATCCTAAACCAGCATAGAAACCTGCCCATGTGTGGAGGAGGTGATTTTAAAACACACAAAAAGATCCAAAGCTGGCAACAGGGAGAGAAGAGAAAAGTTGTAAGGTCCAGAGACATAGATAATTCAAAATATGCTGATGTGCCGTGGAAAATGGGGGCTGCGGCCAAAAAGTCTTGCCCAACGCAGGACAGATTCATCGGCAGCTTGCTGTAGAAATTAAGGTGGTTAGACAAATGTATTTGCTTTCAAGACAAGGAGGTACCTGCTCTTGATCATGGAGCCTGAGTTTCTGGAAATTCCAGGTCAAAAGAGAAATTATTATTAACAATAATAATAATAATAATAATAATAATAATAATAATAATAATAATTCAATCCTTCCACTCATTAAAAAAATAAATACATAAATAAATAAAGCTAAATTATCAACCCCATCATAGAATCCCAACCTGAAGTTGGTAGCCATTTGATGGAGGGAGGGCAAGGACAGTCTCATCTTTCCCCCATCCCACCCGAGCTGACACAGAGGACATTGATAAACTGGAAAGTGGTGGCAGCAACCATGGCCAGATTCTCGATGCCGCAGGAGGGTGAGAAGTGGGAACAACATTGGATTTCCAAAGTTCGTGAGTTTTCAGGTGCTGGTGCTTAGTCCAAACACCTGCACAGCACAGGAAAGCTCTCATCAATCCTTTAGTATGCTGTGGAGATCAAGCTCATTTTTAAAGCTGACAAACATCCAGGAGCTGTTCTTGGCAATAGCTTCTTGCAATAACTACAGTTTCACTTCCCTGTATTCCCCCGCATCTAAAAAAAAAAAAAAAAAAAAAAAAAAAAAAAAAAAAAAAATCTTTCTTTAACACACAGGTTTTCCCCTTCTGAGGAGCACTCCCAAAACAACGAGAAACCTTTTCCTATGCGGTACACGGCAGACACCTCCTGCGGCCAGACAGCGATGCTTGAGTCCAAGCACGGAAAGCTTTCCCTCTAGTTGTACGCTCTGCTCTGCCAAACCCATAAACTGCGTTCTTGAAGTGGGAGAACACCTTCCTACTTCTTTGGGGAAGACCGGAGAATTTGTGCAGATCCCAGGTTACTTGGAGGCGGCGCTTCTCAAGAAAGACAACGGAGGAAGCTCAGAGCAGCGATGCTCTTCAATCTCTTCCAGCACTAAAGAGATTAGGACAACGGCCCAGCGAATCAGCAGTCCCAGTGCACCACATGAACACACTTTTGCCCACGGTTGTCACATTGAAGAGAGCTTGTTACAAAAATTACATGGCGGTTATCTTGTTTGCTCGCGGGAATGCAAGAGCTGAGATGCAGGGAAAAAGCAGCAAGATGGGAGCTGCAGGCTTTGCGGAGGCGAAGCCAGCCCTGCTCACTGAGCAGGGACCACCACATGGGTGAAATCTAGCCAGAAACCACCCCAGTGTTGAAATGTTGGCCAAGAAACTGGTTTGAGAAAACATAAAATATGCTGACAGCTTGGCGACACTGCCCATGGCTCTAAGATGGGAGATGTACTGAAAGCTAAACATCGGGACATCCAGACGAAGGCAGGCGTGGGTAAGTACCAGATTAACCCACCACCCAGGGGGAACCTATTTTGGGTCATCACACTGTTCACATCACACGCTGACAGCTGGGACAGCAGTACAAGGATGTTGTATAATGGCTCCTTTTCCCTTCCATACATACTTGACAGCATCCTGCAGAGCAATGCCACAGCCAGGAACCACACACAAATCACAGAATCACAGAATTGTCTAGGTTGGAAAAGACCTTGAATCTCCTCCAGTCCAACCACTGACCCAGCACTGACATTTCCCAACTCCCCCAGATCCCTCAGCGCTGGCTCAGCCCGACTCTTCAACCCCTCCAGGGATCCCGGGGACTCCCCCCCTGCCCTGGGCAGCCCATTCCAACGCCCAACAGCCCCTTCTGCACAGAAATCCTTCCTCAGAGCCTAAAATAACTCTGCTGCCTGGACTTTTAAGGGTATCAGGAGGTGAAAACCAGCAAATCTGAACAGGAAGAGATACGGCCTCTCTGGTGCAAGAGATGGCCTTCTGTAGCTTTGCTCCCAAAGGACCAACATGTGGCTACCAAACAGCGAGGCTTCCAAGAGCATCCCATAGGCAACCTGCAGCTGAGGCGACCCTCCCCGAACAGTTCTCACCCACTTCCCTCATCCTCATCACACAGCATGTACACAGGCAGAGGAGCAGACTCATGGTACTCATGGAGTGGGGAGAGGGTGATCAGCAAGTGTCCAAGAGCACAAAGACATCACAGAAACAGTTATGAAGTTGGACAGGTCAACAAATCAATGGGGGGCAACACGTCATCAACACAGCCAGGGACCATCACAACAGCTGATGGGAGATAAATATCTCGAACCCATCTCATCTGATGCCATCAACACATCTCTCAAAGCACAAAGGGACTTTCAACATTCATCACGTTTGGCATTCCACATAATTCACACCACAAAACAACATCCCGCACCAGGCTTGTGACCCCAGGTCCAGCAAAAAGAAGGATAAATTAGAGCTACAGAGATGCCACCACAGTTATATCCCCCCACGCTGCTAAAACAACCTGCCCCACCAACCTGGTTGACTACAGCTTTCTAACCCACTGGTCTAGGCCGCTCCCAGAGGTCGTATTCCCACGCAGCTGATCCTTTCTTCCACACAGAAGAAACTGCACATCAAAGCAAGAGATGGAAAGGGGAAGCCATAGCGCTGAGAAAAGATGCCCTCAGCGAAATTTGTGTTAAGGCACAACTAGCTCGTACTGAAGCCAAATCCTCTAATCTTCAACCCAGATCCTTGTAGGAGGGTAATTTATGTTCTCTCTGGCCAAACATGGTGCTGTTGGACATCGATAACACCACTAATACTCTTTACTCGGTACTGCTGCAAGGAGATCCAGGGGCAGCGAGCACTGACATTTAGGGAAACATCACCCGTTATCAAAAGGAGCACCCGTCCCGCTGATTCAGCACCGGTGCTGCCGCAGGTAACACGAAAATTACACAAAGCTCTGCTTTGTCCCCTTACACGAGCTCTGGAGGTGATGAATCAGACTCGCTGCCTCAAGGGATACCACGGAGGAGTGATGTAAATCCACAGCAGCTCCCCACACCTACAAGCAGAGGTAAACTAGATGGGAGGGAAAACAAAAGAATAGTCCTGGGAAAAGCCAACGGAGCTTGGCTTCGGCTTTCTTGCCCATAAACAGAGTTGCCCCTTGTGAATCTGCTGAAGGAGGAGACAATAAGTCCTCTGGGAGTGAACCAGTGAGCAGCCAAGAGCTGCACGCACATCCCACCAGCACAGGACCAGCACGCCCCTGCTGGCCTTCCACACTGTGCAGGAGACCAATAAGCCTTTACTCACCCTGGCAAGAGTTTTCAAGGAAAAATGAAGTTAAACCTGAAGACCTACAGAACAATATGAACTCAGTCATTTCGGGGAATTTGCGGACAAACTTTTTAGGAGGGTCTGTAGCAACAGGATAAGGGGTAATGGCTTTAAACTAAAAAAAGGGCAGATTCAGACTAGATAAAAGGAAGACATTTTTTACGATGAGGGTGGTGAAACACTGGACCAGGTTGCCCAGAGAGGTGGTTGATGCCCCATCCCAGGAAACATTCAAGGCCAGGTTGGACGGGGCTCGGAGCAACCTCATCTGGTTGAAGATGTCCCTGCCCACTGCAGGGCGTTGGACTAGATAATCTTTAAAGGTGCCTCCAACCCAAACTATGCTATGATTCTAATTCTGTTCTCTGTATTTCATTTTTTTCTGTACATAGATAGCTCTAAAGATCAAACACATGATGAAGCCATCAGAAGACCAGCCCACGACAACATGGGAAGAACATGAAAATATGGCCAAAGCTCTGAGACAGCTCTTGGGTAAGGTTCCTCTCCATATAAGTGAAGCTGAGGCATGGCAGACAGGGACTCCCTCCCCAGCCTCACCACCAAAACTTTCATAAACCAGCTCTCCCTTTTTGCAATTCAGTTCAAAAGAGGGTGAAACTTCTATATATGAAAGCCAGGAAAAAAAAAAAAAAAAAGTAAATTCTTAAGGGCAAGATTTTATTTCCATCTGCCCAAGTCCCACCCTTCCACGTGCAGGTGACCCTCTCCTGCAGAGATGCTCTTACCAACTGCTTCCTAAGTCCTGTTCCCCTGGTCACACAAGACTTTCTTCTAATCTGGAAGGAAAAGTGAGACAACTGATTAGTACTGGGAAGGAAATTATTTCCCTGTCATGGCTAACGCGTATCATCAGCGCCCTGAACTGTGGCATCCAGCAACACCGTGAAGCCTCTCGGCTGGCCTGTATGAACAGGTACAAAAGCAAGCATTGATTCCTCAAAACATCACTGCTGAGTACAGGAACAGCATCTCATTTTTAAAAGAAAGAGGATAAAAACCTCTAAAATTGCTGAAGGTTTTTAAGATTTCCAGATTAGCAGAGGTGCAAACGTAGTGTTAAGATACCTGAAAAAAAAAAACCCAACCCAAAAAAAAAAAAACCAAAACAACAAACCACTAAAACCAAAACCGAACAAATTAAAACCTGCAATGGGAAAGGGAAATCACCTACTGAACTGTCCTGTTTTCTTTATGATCCTGAACCTGCCGTGGGAGGAACACTCTGGCCACAATCCAGTTAAGCATTTGAGCTTATGTCAAATTTGGGAGAACACAGAGCGCGCCCCGTTGACTCAAGACCTTCGCAGGTCTCACCAGCAGGTTGTTACTCTCTCATGCTTGCTTGCACACATGTACACACATCCCTACCTTGCAACAACTTCCATTTTTAGCTTTTATTCTAAGGATTCTCCTTCTAGAAACAACCCCTCTTGGCTATAAAACCACCCAACCCTCCTGCAAGGAAAAATGTCCTGGTGCAACCCCAAGAGGCAGGTCCTCCGTTCAATGGGCAATGGGCAGCTTTCAAGATGCAACCCAGAGCTGCACCCACAAGCTATAGGGTTTTCCCCACAGACACCCAGATGGTGCTAGATGACCTTTAGCCAGATAAATTATAGACTCCTTAAAGTATTCACCGACCTTGCTATTAAGTATGCAGTACTTCCTCATTTTCTCTGTTCCAAAGAAAATGCAGTGTCCGTTAGAGAATCACAGAATTGTCTAAGTTGGAAAAGACTTTGAAGATCGTCCAGTCCAACCACTGACCTCACACTAACTGTTCCCAACTCCCCCAGATCCCTCAGTGCTGGCGCTGGATCAGCCCGACTCTTCAACCCCTCCAGGGATCCCGGGGACTCCCCCCTGCCCTGGGCAGCCCATTCCAACGCCCAACAGCCCCTTCTGCACAGAAATCCTTCCTCAGAGCCAGCCTGACCCTGCCCTGGGCAGCTTGAGGCCATTCCCTCTTGTCCTATCGCTTATTACTTTGTTAAAGAGACTCATCCCCCCTCTCTGCCCCCTCCTGGCAGGGACTTGCCGAGGGCCAGGAGGTCTCCCCTCAGCCTCCTCTTCTCCAGACTGAACCCCCCCAGTTCCCCCAGCCGCTCCCCAGCAGACCTGTGCTCCAGACCCTGCCCCAGCTCCGTTGCCCTTCTCTGCCCACGCTCGAGTCATTCAATGGCCTTTTTGGGGTGAGGGGCCCAGAACTGAACCCCCTCAGTGAGGGGCGGCCTCACCAGTGCGGAGCACAGGGGTAAGATTCATCAGTCTTATCACAAAAGGCCTTTTAATTAATGCACCTACTTGCTTTATTCAATTAATGGGAGCAATGAAGCTTTTCTTCACACACCACGTTCAGCTCCTCTACTTCTTTGGTCACCATATTCTGAACACAGTGATATTTTTAAGGTATTAATAAATACTTCCTACATAAATGCTATTTACTTCCTACAGTCATGCTCTATATACAAAGTTCACTAAAAAAAAAAAAAAAAAAAAAAAGGATGCAATTTCCCCAGTCAGAAAAATTCAGAGATAAAATTGCAGCAACGATTTGTATCTGCCTGGAGCAGCAGTCCCAGTCTTCAGTGACCTCTGTGGAAGCACAGTAAGGCAGTTACACACTGTGACAGCCCACTTTTCCTTCCTGTACCAGCACCTTCTTGTTGCTGGCTGCAAGAAACATCAAAAGGCAACTAACAAATAGACGTTAGTGAGACGCTTCAGGCTAGGGACAGCCAGTCTAGAAGTTTAATCAAGATCTGCATCAAATTCTGTGAGGTATTTTGTAAGCATTGATGTTATTGATTTGTTGCAGCTTGAGGATGTAATTCCCAACCACCTGCCCATTTAACCTATTAAAATCACCATCAGGCAACTCAGCTCAATCCTCCCCCTCTTGTTTATCAGATTCTTCGGTAGCAGATGAGTGGTACCCACCTCATCCTTCAGCATCCTACACCTGGGACATCCCCAGCAGCACTCTCATGTCCTCTTGGCAAGGCAAAACTAGCCCACGTGACAAACTTTTTTTTAAAAATTAAAAAAAAAAAGCCTTCAACCATAGCTAGCAGCTGACAAAAGAAACATGAATTAACTTCTTGGAGATTAATAGGCAGGACAAGGCTTTGTGTAACCTGCTGGTTTGCCTTGTATTGCCTAGGACATCCTAGGCCCAACTCCTTGTTGGGTGATACCATCATTGCTCTGGTTATAAAGATCCTTTCTCTGCTGGGCATCCTAAAGCACCTTTATTTCATCCCTTCTTTAAGAAAATGAGCAGTAGGGGCTGAGTGCTGGGACTTCATGACTTCAGCTGCCAGCCTCTTCAGGAACAGAAATTTAGGAGGAGTATGATGAAGAGCATGTAAGACACCCTTAGATTTCTGAATCTTAACATCAGTGAGAGATGCTATAAGATCTGAATTTCAACCCTCACATGGTCACCATCCGCATTTACTGCAAGGCAATGCTAAGAGCAGCTAAAACCCAGGTGATTCTCCATCAGGAGAAAGAAATACAGGACTTCAGAGACTCTGAAGCCTCACATGGGCTCTTCCAAACACTAAGATCCAAAAATGAGCTCATCCTACCAGTGCCCACAAGGGCACAGTACCTCCAGATCCCATCTGCTACCCAAAAGGGTAAGCTATCCCCTCCTCCTGAGATGTTTACAGGGGGGAAACCACCTCAACCACCCAACTCACCAGTCACCCAGGTGCTTTGAGTCTTCTCCAATCTGCTCCACCTACGCCTCAGCATGAACAACAAACCCCAGGGCAGCTGTGTTTTCCCCAGCAGAGCAAAACAGCAGACTTGGAGAGGGGAGATCCATCTGGAAAGAAAACATTTGTGAAAAGCATCCCGCTGTTCAGCCAGGATGAGCATGCCTAAGGGCAGTGTCAGCTGTTGGTGCTGATGGCCAAGGATTGGAAGCAGGAAACACGGTGTGGGAAATGACAGATAGAAACACGTTAAGAGTCAGTAAGAAAGGCAGGGAGGTTGGAAGAACCTCACGCCAACCCTTCAGATGGCAGGAGAAAGAGCAGCTCTAAAGAGGCCAACAAAGCCACAACAGATTTAATCTCTATATGCTGATACACACTAGGATGACAACATCATGTCAATCCAGCCAGAGCTTCCAGGGGATGCATTCCATCGTCTGCTTGGAATTGGGATGAAGACATCCTTTTCTAAAACCCAGAGTATTGTATATAAATATTTAAGTATTATACTTTGGGGTTTGTTTGTTGTTTTTTGTGGGTTTTTTTGACTTTGTCTGAAGCATTCAACCACGAAACAGAACGATTTCTGACTGTACTGATAGAGGAAATGCTACTGACTGTTTAGGTGAGATTAATTTCAGGACTGTGGCCAGACTGAGGAAATTGGTGGAAGAAATCCTTCATAGTTGGATAATGAGGTTGCAGTTTTATGAGTAATTCTCCTGAGTTATGTGCCCAGCATCTCGGGTGTGGGTGACACGTTCATTCTTTCCCTCCCTTTCTGAATGGAAAATGCCATCCAAGAACACAAACAAAATATTTATTAAAAAAAAAAAAAAAACCCCAACAAAAATCATGATGTGGAGACACAGTACAATGTGCAATACAGCTGCTATCTAGAGGAGTTTGCCTGGTGGGTTCCCCAGGAATGTCCCCAAGCTGCAGCACAACCATACGTACACCACATCCCCAAAACCTAAAGAGTCTCTGGGGTGGAAGCCACGACAGTACCGAGACAAATCAACAAAAGACACTGCCCTGTACACCTCTATTACTAACAACACTTTTGATGTAGAGACATTAACCCAGGTTTCCTCACTCCAACGTTCACACCCTCGCCGCTGCGTCACCTCGCGTGGTCCCACATGTGCTGTGGGGACCAACGATCTGTGCTAATGCCACATTTCTCCCAGCTGGAAATGGTTTAAGTGGATTGCCAGCAGCTCCCCCTTCCGAGCAAGCAAAAGCTTTCACAAGGAGGTTACCTGAAGTTTTAATTCTGTCAAAGCTCAGCTGAATGGAAACCAGAGCGGGAGAAGAGCGACCCTTTCCTGCAGATGTCTCTGCTCCATCTGGACCCATCACCTTCCATTACTCAACTGCCTTTCTGGGAATTCTCCATGCCTTCCCTTATGCCATGCCCAGGCGTTAAACGTGAAAATAGCTTACGACAGTTCCTGCTGGCATGACATCAACTCTGTTCCTCCTGAAGGATGAACTAGCAGATGGGACCAGTGGAAGATGGCTGAGCGAGAGAGCTGGACAACTGGAGTCTTTCCAATTCAGTGACTACAGTTCAAAGGAGCGAGGATGCAAAGATCCTTCAGGGTCAGAACCTCTTTCCTAGGGGTAGGAACAGGGTCAAGGAAGATATGCAGGTGGTTACTGACAGGCTCTGCAGGCTAACTTATGTCTGCACAAACTCCTGCTTTGCTTGCTTATTCCCCAGTCAACCCACTGTATTATTCCAGCAAAATAACCACAATACCAAACAGCTTTTGAAATTAATATGATGGGCTCGCAAGCATCTTCCATCATGCAGAACTAAAATTAAAACGTACACCCGCCCTCGCCTCACTCCCTGAAATTCATCATGCGGAAACTTCCCCGTGTCACGTCAAGAGACTCCCGACAGCTGAAAGAGCTAATGGGAATCTGCATTTGCAGCAGCAAGAGCATCGCTCTGCTGCTACCAGACTTCAAAGCAGTGTCCCAGCCTCACCACCATCAAGGTTTAACCCCTGTTGCCTGAGACACAAGGCAGCTGCCTT